CTCCACAATGCCCATCTCCCTATTCACATTTTATAAAGATGAGGAAACAGAGGCTTGGAGAGTCAAAGCCATCTGTTGAAGTCCTATGGCCATCACATGAGCAAGCCAGCATTTCAACACAGGTGCCAGGCCTCCAATGTTCATGTACCTGCCCCTGTACCACAATGTGTCCCTGGGCTCAGCATGGGGGCCTGTGGACCTTGGATCAGCAAGAGAGCTCAGATGGACTGAGGCAGAGAAAGTGTCAGAGGAAACCCTACTCTGGCTGGTGGAAAGGATCTTCCCTTTCTAGCCCCTATCAGACCACCCCCCACCCCGGCCCCCCGCAACAATCAGGTTGCAGACATTTGGGAAACTTCTCCAATGCTCCCTGAACAGAAGCCAGGAGTTCCAGGGTAACTGCAAGGACCTATTTAGTCTGCAAGGACATATTTAGTCCCTCAGTGAGCTTTAGGACACCTGCTTCTGCTCACCCTACAGAGGCTAACTGGGAAAACAGTAACTGTGCTGCGTGCCTTTCATTGCATCGACTTTATTTTTGGAGGAAAGCAAGGAGAAATGGTGAACACAACACTCCCCTTCATTTAATTACAGGAACAGTCAGGACCAATTTGGCAACTATTAAAATATTAGTTTGCCTTTATGCCATCCCTGTGGAGCAGGAGCTGGGAATCCACACTGGCTGCCAAGGGCTGGAGATGGGGACAGAAGGTCAACACTGCTATTAGGAGCCACGTGGAACTAAAAACCGAGGCACCCTGTGGCCTACTTTGTATCTTACTGCTTGTTTTTGGTCCCTCCACATCGTTTGATCTTTTAACCTCTTTGCCTTTGTCACAATGTCTTTTACAAGGGCTGGTCCAGGAGCAGAGAGCGTCAGAAGGAGAAGTGCCTTCGGAGACCATCTTATTCATCCACTTTTCTTTTTTCAAAGGGAGAAAGTGAAGCCCAGAGAAGCAGAGTCGTTGCCTGAAAGTCACCCAGCATCCTAGAGGAAAGCAGGCCCAGAATACAGACAGGCTGCATCATACAAGGGTTATGAGCTTGGGCTCTGGGGACACAGGCACCTGGGCCGGAGTCCTAGCACTGCTGTAATTATGTGGGCTTCACCAAATTACTTCACCTGAGTCTCAGTTTCCCCATCTCTAAAATGAAGCTACTAAGTCACCATTGGAGCCAGAAAATCCAACCAACACAAAGGAAAATAGAACTAAACAAGGGAGTCAAAAAGTACACACTTCCAGGTGTGAAATAAATACGTGCTGGGGGGAGGTGATGTATAGCCAATAATACTGTACTGTGTATTTGGAAGTTGCTCAGAGAGTAGATCTTAGATGTCCTCATCAACAAGAAAAAAAAAATGTAACCATGTGGGGTGACAGATGTCAACTAGACTTATTATGATCATTTTGCAATATATACAAATAACGAATCATTAGGTCATACACCTGAAACTAACATAATGTTGTATGTCAATTACATCTCAATTAAAAAAATAAAAAGATTCCCCTCAGTGAACTACTTGGCTATTTGATGTGTTTATTTTACTTTAACCCATTCCAGGAATAGTAAATAATTAAATGCCCCCCCCCCCCATAAAAAGGAAAAGAAAAGAACTAACGGAGTCTAGGTGTGATTAAAGCATTTGAACTGCTTGATTTAGCCATATCTGAAGTCAGAGATCAAGGTTTTCCTTCCATTAACTTCCTTTACCCACTGAGTCTAGTTTAAGCTGGGTTTCTGTCATCTGCCACCAAGGGTCCTTTATAACACATCACCCGTGCAGGGTCTGCAGCCTAGCCATGCCCAGCTCTGTGCGATGGGGAGGGGACAACAGAAGACGCACAGTGGTTAGGGTTACTCATCAGCAGGTGAGGCCCCAGCTGACAGAGAGGAGAGGGTGGCAGGTAATGGCTCATTTTACTATGAAATTAATACGACATTACTGCCCTTTATTCATTCAAGTAAGAGAAAACCAGCCAAGGGCTCATTCCTGGGTAGTGGAATATGGGAGCTTTTCTGTTCGGAGATCCTTGGGTTTTAGTTTTAGCAGGAAGTGCCAACAACATCTTAGCCGGAACCTTTATGTTGTTCGTGCCATGTGGGTACTACCTGTCAGCTACTGACGCACATCCACCAGACAGGTATTCACACACCCAGCGGGGTAACTCTGGCCCAAATACCATCTATTTATTTCTCCCACCACAATATTTTCATCCTGCACTTATCATAGCCATGACATCACCATCATCATCACCACCATCACATAGGGCATCTACTATATGGTGGATGCTTTATATGCAGCATCTCATTTAATCCTCTCAACCCCAAGAGTGTAGGCCTATTGTTATTTCCACTATAAAGGTAAGGGAACAGGCTCAGAGAGGTTAAGACACCTGTCCAATGCAACATAGCTAGGACATGGGAGAGCAGGACTCTGATCCAGGAAGTACAACCTCAAGGCCCACGCTTTTAACCTCTGTGCTACATACCCAGTCCCAAGCACTGGGCCTAGAAATAGTGGACAGAGAATAAATACCAACTAGGCAGGAATAATAATACCAGGGTGGATAATAATTCAGACACAAGTCTATCAAATTACAATGGGCTCCTTTCTGATGAAACAACTTTGCACAAAACACATATTACAAGGTTACCTGGAGGTAACCTAAGGGCCTAGACACTAACATCTGGGCCAGTTTTGATAACTAACACCTGAATGGAATCTTGTTCAGCTCTACCTTGCTCCCATGGGCTTTGGGGTCAGAGAACTGGGTTCAAATTCTAACACTTACCAGTTGTGTAACCTTGGGAAAATCATTTAGACTCCCCAAAACCCCTTTCTTCTCCTGACAAATGGGGATAATGATTCTTATTTTGCATTGAGTGGCCCTAAGAATGAAATTGGATCCCACAGGGAAAAGGTCAGCGGAGCAAGGGCACTTATCAGGAACACATCACACAGTGGCTGTAATTCTTGATCTACCCAGGCCTCTCTCCTTTTAGCGGTGGGAACATGCTCACGCTAATCTGTAAATCATGCTGATTTACAGAGCATCCTCAAGTCTGGGGGCTCCTTCTAAATGTAAAAAATGCAGGCTGTCAGTAGGATGGGAACAAGCTATAAACAGCTAGATGAAATCAGAGTTAGAATTTAGGCAATGACACAACAAAGGATTCTGGGGTTACATCTGGAGAGCTCAGGAGATGGAGCTCAAGGCTACCTTCTGGTCCCCCC